TTGAACAAAATTCCTAAACCATTCAGATGTGCAACTAAATTACACAAGTAAAAGCTTTTTAATATTTTAGGAACAATGACCTCACCAAAAAAAATCATCTGCAGAACAATTGTTTTCCAGTTTTAAGTGTCTCCTCCCTTTAGTGTAAGCCAAGTCAGTGTTGAAAAGAGGACAGTTATGTATATAATTAGTGGTGTTGGCTAAAGCAAGTGTAACTGTTATTAGTATTACTCATACACGTATTACTCATATTTGCAGTTGGCGATTCGTTCAGCTCAATTAAATTAGGCATTACGTGTCATTGTGTGTGTCATCCTGCGGCTTTTGTGTTTCAGAAGGATTCTTCAAACCTCAAATCATGCGTCATGTTAAGGAAACACTTTTTGAACTACTCAAATTTTCTGGATTTACAATTTGTAGTTGAGTTTGAGTCAAATTTATAGTTTGTTTAATTCTGAAAGCTATTTCTACTATACTTTAAAATAAATATTTTGTCATTCGAGTTTTGTTTTTGCTATAAAATATGGCACAATTTCACAAGTTTTGGTTTATATACATGTTTCGGCACCACAATACCAATATTTTAACTTCAGTTGGTGTAAAAATAATGTTTTTGATGAAATTAATTTACAATCAGATTAATCCACTTGTTATTCTGAAAGATTTTTTATCCATTAATTTTTCATCAGCGGGGCATGACGGTGGCATGGTGGGTAGCACGTTTGCTTCACAGCAAGAAGGTCGCTGGTTCAAGCCCCAGCTGGGTCAGTTGGCATTTCTGTGTGGAGTTTGCATGTTCTCAATGCGATCGCGTGGGTTTCCTCCGGGTGCTCCAGTTTCCCCCTCAAGTCCAAAAACATGTGGTAAAGGTGAATTGGGTAGGCTAAATTGTCCGTAGTGTATTTGTGTGTATGCGTGTGTGTGTGTGTGTGAATGTTTCCTAGTGATGGGTTGCGGCTGGAAGGGCATCCAGTGCATAAAGCATATGCTGGATTAGTTGGCGGTTCATTCTGCTGTGGCGACCTCTAAAATAGAGGCCAAGCCAAAGGAAAATTAATGAATGAAAAACAATACAGTACTGTCGAATACAGTATAGTTTCTGTAACCTAAAAACCACTTTGTTCATAAAGGTAAAACAGTCAACAACTATTATATTGCACGTTATCATCTAGGTGTGCATATATAATTGTATTGCTTACTTTATTCCCTACTTATTTCTGCTCTCACATGTTGATATGCATGTATGAGCCTGAGCTCCTGTAAACTGAAAAAAAAAAAAAACCTTGTGCGCACTGGGCGAATAAAAATCAATATGGTTAAATAATAATTGTGAGAAAAATCCCCCCAGGATGGATCACCCCGCAAAACTCAAGTGCTGTTTAACCAAGTTCAGAACTAAGATGTTTTTATTAGTATTATTATTAATATTATTACGATCTGGATCTGCTCCCAGTCTGTTTGTTTGGCACGGATACAGCAGTGGTAAATCTTCAATATGAATCTGACGGATGTGGCGGCGCTTTGACAAACGAGAGTAAAGACGTGCTGTAAAGTCTGTATTTCTTTCCTCAGCCGCTCTGGCTCAGCTGTCATCATCATTTCAGCAGACTTCAGACTAAATTTACACTTTTCATCCATTAATAATGTCCCAGACAAAGGAAGAGGCGAGCGTTTGAAGAAAACGAGCCATTCTTAGATTTCTTTGTCTTTTTTAGACTTCATCTTGATTTATATTAAAGCTGCGCTCTTGATATTGTATTTAAAGAGGTCGTTCATGTTTTAGTTCTAAAATATTATCTGACTTCATTTTTTCTGTTGGTCCTTGTAAAGCAGCTTTGACATGATCTACATTGTAAAAAGTGCTATATAAATAAAAGGCGACTTGAATTAAAGAAATATTTCAACCAAAAATGAAAAAAATGACCCTATAATTTACACACCCTCAACCCATCCTCTGTGTATAAGGCCATGTCCACATGTATTTTTTATTAACCTCTGTCCACATGAAAATGCAAATATGCACTGAGATACATGGTAATGGCACTCCGAAGCCAACAGGTGGCGATAAAAGCCTTTTATGATGCATTGACACCACACACTGATTACATTTTTTGCGAGTACATTGCATACAAGTCACTGCAAACATTGGAACAGTAGTCAATTACTGTCCTGTGGTTCAAACGACAGGGAATATGTGACTTGTTTGCCGCAAATGCATGGCCTCAATTGTGTCTTTTGCATTTTGTGTGAACCAAGCCGTGTTATCCAATAAGAAAACAGATGTCGTGAGGCAAAAATTCAGGTTTTAGTGTCGACATGACCACACTGTACCTGGAGTTTCCGAAAATCTTTACCCTGGCTGGAGTTCTGAGAAACTTTCGATTTCAGTCACCTGATAATGCGTTTGCGTGTGGACAAATGACCAAACTGCATAGAAAAAACAACGCTTTTAAAAAACACCTGTGTTATTGCGGTCTCACTCGAGTTTGAGCATGCGAAATTCTGTCATACGGTGCTACGAAAAGGGGTGGGATTAAACAAGATAATTAAATATTAAACAAGCAAGCACAATCACGTGATACGATTTCACAGGTGAGAGTTCACCAAGCTTGAACTTTGCAATCCAGCAACGTACGAAACTTAAGGCTCGTACACAACGGGGCGCTTTTCGTTTGCGTTTATCATCAGCGTTTTTCAAGACGTTTTTCCGGATTCAAACACAAGCGATTTTCACTGGCGTCGAGCAGAAGAGTATGCAAAATCACTCCTTGACGTTAGGTGGCGCTACACAACTTTAAGCTTCTGACACCCTCTTGTAACACAGAAGAAAAAGACAAAGTTGACACGCATGAGACATTTTTTTTTAATGACGCTTTTACGCCTGCCGATTTGTGTGCAGGATCACATTGACGCCCTTCATTTAGTCATGAGGCGTAATGGAAAACGCATGCAAAAAATGTCTCGGTGTGCACGGGCCTTTACGCACAATGTAAGCATAAGCCTGTGTTTCCGGACAGTCATAATCACAATTTATTTACTCGTTAAGTCAATGCAAAGATGTGGTTAGACATCCTGCAGTGATATTCAAGCAAATAAGATGGCGCGGATGATGCACTTCAAGTGAATGACATGGCTTGAATTAAACATTTCGTGTATTTGATGCGTTTATCGTATGATTCGTGAGAATCACTCAAAAAAAGTCTGAACTTTGGCAGACATTTGTAAAATGTGAACCAATCAGGAGCTTGCTTAGTAAGGGCGTGATTGTGACAGCCTAAAGTTGGTGACGCCTGTAATTAGTGTTCCCAGGAGGAAAGAGAAACATCATTTTTCAGCCATCCTAAAGCACATAAAGCACAGCTACTCTCTCGATAAAATCCATGTCAGCCATTTAGCAATGAAACTGGAGTCACCATGCAGACAGACGCCCCTCCGATGCTTCGAATCTACGTCTAATTGTGAAGTGAATTTAACCTGCGTATGAAGTTACTTTGAGTAAACTCAAAATGTTCAAGCGTCCCATCACATGCAAATATCACAATCTATTCGCACATGTTGTGTCATGTGTGAACAACCCATCAGACTATTCTGTCCAACTGTCGAAGTCTAAGGTTCTGCTATGCCGTGTAATGGTTGTAGGTTCTGGCCTTTTTGTTTTAAGCTTCTAAAACCACATTAATCATGTCCGTTTTTGTAACAAATTTATTTATAATTTTTAAATGATAAACATAGAATCACTGACTTCCAGCCGTTGTTGAATGTTTGTCAATGTCTTTCCTTAATGTCTGACTCAACTTATGATGCATTAAAGAATTTTAAAATGAAAGTGATAGGCATGTGCACTTAAAATGGTGCATTTTTATTTTAGTTTTTCTCCGCCTTGTGGCTTTAAAGAAAGTGAAGAAACAATTATGATTTTATAACAGTAATTAGATGGTTATTTTATTATCTGTGACAGGGTTTTGCTGTCACACTAGAGCAGTGGTCATCAAACTTTCCTGGAGGGCCGGTGTCCTGCAGATGTTTGCTCCAACCCTAATCAAACACACCTGAACAAGCCAATCTAGGTCTTGCTAGGTATACTTGAAACATCCAGGCAGGTGTGTTGAGGCAAGTTGGAGCTAAACCCTGCAGGGACACCGGCCCTCCAGGACCGAGATTGGTGACCCCTGCACTAGAGGTTGTGCGTGCAAAATGCTGTTGTGTTGCGCTGCAAAAAGGGGTGGGATTAAACGAGATGATTAGACATTTTTTTTAAAAGTGAGCGATTAGTCCATGTTTTAAATTTCTGTCCAGAAAGGTCATGTTTTGATTTTCAATTGGTCTTACGCAATCATGTGATGCAATTTCGAAGGGCAGAGTTCACCAAGCTTGCACTTTCCAATGCAGCAAACTGTGAAACTTGACACACGTACTTGAGTTTCAAGTCTGACGCATTTGCATGCATATGAATGGAAGTCTATGGGGGAAAAGTGCAGTGTGACCGCAGCTTTACTCATTCCTTCAGCTTAGTCCTTTATTTATCAAGGGGTCGCCACAGCGGAATGAACCGCCAACTATTCCACCATATGTTTTATACAGCGGATGTCCTTCCAGCTGCAACTCAGTACTAGGAAACAGGATTACTCTCACAGAGTTATATTATATACTTTAATACAAATAACTGTAACTGGTTATACAAATTAGGCACATGAATCATATTGATTGATATTCCACTCAATCAAATTGATCCTAAAGTATCAAGATTAAAAAATTATCACTATATATCATGCTGAGGCGTCCAATTTCCACCCCTAGTATGTTAGTATTTTTATTGACTGAAGTGTACTTAGAATGTGCCTTAATGAACAGAGACAGCTTCAGTAAATCTGTTTTTTCTGTTCAGCTTGTCTCTTCCTCCTTGGTGTTTCAGTCATGAATTAATGATGATTTATCGTCCTGCAGTGACCGCTCGGTCCCGGTTTAACTTCTCAAATCTCTTCTCTTTGTTCCTCTAACAGCGCTGGTCCCAAAGGAGACAACATCTATGAATGGAGGTCAACTATTTTAGGACCGCCGGGCTCTGTGTATGAAGGAGGGGTGTTTTTCCTTGACATTGCATTTACACCAGACTACCCGTTTAAACCACCCAAGGTAAGAACAAAGACATGTTTGAACCACTTTGACATTGAAATTAGTGACTGATTGATTGATTGATTGATTGATTGATTGATTGATTGATTGATTGATTGATTGATTGATTGATTGATTGATTGATTCCGTTTTCATATACGTTCAGAGAATAAACATGTCTGAAAACATATGAGCCATTTAGTTTGATGATGATGACGTCTCGCCTGTAGTTGTGTCTACAGGGGAAAGGGAAATGCCATTTCTCAGGCTTCCTAAAGCACAGCTATTCTCTCAATAAAATCCATGTTAGCCATTTAGCAATGAAACTGGAGTCGCCAGAAAAACAGAAATACTACAGAAAAAAATACTATATTCTTAATGTCATAAAAGTGATCTACACTGTAATAATTCATTCATTCATTTTCTTGTCGGCTTAGTCCCTTTATTAATCTGGGGTCGCCACAGTGGAATAAACCGCCAACTTATCCAGCACATTTTTATGCAGCAGATGCCCTTCCAGCTGCAACCCATCTCTGGGAAACATCCACACACACATTCACACACACACTCATACACTACGGACAATTTAGCCTACCCAATTCACCTGTACCGCATGTCTTTGGACTATGGGGGAAACCAGAGCACCCGGAGGAAACCCACGCGATCGCATTGAGAACATGCAAACTCCACACAGAAACGCCAACTGAGCCGAGCCGAGGTTCGAAACAGTGACCCAGCAACCTTCTTGCTGTGAGGCGACAGCACTACCTACTGCGGCACTGCGTCACCTACACTGTAATAATATCTGTTAATTAACAGTTTCCGTATTTTGTGATTGACGAGTATTTTACGTTTATTTACGGTTGTGAATTGCATTATGGGATGGTGATCTCTGCTCTTTCGACTTTTGATGTTGAAAATTCAAATCTACAGTTTAACAGTGACTATTAGAGACATTTTAGTCGTTTGAAATAATATAATGTATAAGTAGTAATATATAGAGAAATAAGTCTGTAAAAAAAAAAACAGAAAATGTGGCAGTTTATTATAAGGTTTACATTGTTTAGGTTTCAGACTTAGACAAAATATGACTTTAAACTATTAAAAATGTTAATGAAACTATTTTTTTCAAACTCCTCAAGGTTAAAAGTTGTTGGACGAAAGATCGACATCTCATAATGCAATTCAAAAGCAGAAATAAATGAGGGAAAATAAAAACATGAATCACAAAATACAGAAAACAGATTATTAACTGATTTTTTTTTACAGTGTAGATCATCACATTGACGAACATTTAATTTATTTTTTTTAAAAATGACAAAAGAGTGAGATGTTTATAAGCTGAAAAGTCCCCATGGAGATGTTACATATACTGCATGTACCTATTAGTTCTTATGTAAAATGCATTCTTTTATTTATTATCTTTTTTAACATAGTAGAACTGTAATACTCTGAATCTGCCAGTGGCATGAACTTAAACATACATTTAATACTTAATAATAACCCTTAATATTTGAAAAAGAATAAAAATTTAACAGGAGATGAAACTCTAAGATGACTCTGAATGGCTCTTGAATGGATGCATAGTAACTTAGTTTATTTAATAACTCATTTTCAAATCTCATAAAGTTGACAAAACTGTCAGATTGAAGACTTTAATTCCAATGTAGTCAAATCGTTTTTATACATCCCATCATACATGCATTAAAAAGCCCGTATCAGTCAACAACTAATGGATCTGCAAGTTGCGTTTTTATCCCAATAGGTGGCGGCATTACGTTAAATGATGAAAAACATTACCTATTCTGTCAGCAAAATAAAGACTTCAGAAAGAAAACGTATTAATCTTTTAATATTTTTCAGTATTTTGATATCCCTCAACCCCCCAAATGATCATCCTTGTGTAATAAATAGGTTTTAATTATTTATTAGCAAAATATTAAATAGGTAATTGTTTCATACTTTCTACTCATAGTGCTGGATGTAAATCTTTAACTTCTTTAATCAGTGTTTTAATATTAGTGCTGGAATAATTCACAGATAGAAACGATACGGCTTTTACTCTCTTTTTTTCTTCTTTTATTCATCAATCTTAAGCTGTTTTGGAACAATTGTAATCTACATTGTAAAAAAAGTGCTACAGAAATACAGATGAATACAATTTAATTGTACTTATTTCATCAATATTATTTTAATCTGTTTTATAGAATACAAAAATACATCATTTAGATAAAATAAAATATAATGATAAAAATGAAATAACCTATTATAAATTTAATCAGAATAAATCATGATGACTGAATTAAAATAATCAAATAATTAGAAAATAATTAGCACAAAAAAAGAGAAAAAGTCAAGTAAAACAATTGTTTTAAATGTTCTACTCTTAGTACTGTAACTATTCATATTTTTTGTTTTAATCAATGTTTTACCCATTTTATTATGTTTATTTATTTTCTTTTCAGCTTAGTTCCTTTATTAATCAGGGGTCAACACAGCGGAATGAACCGCCAACTTATGCAGCATATGTTTTATGCAACAGATGCCCTTCCAGCCGCAACCCAACACTTGGAAACACCCATACACTCTTGCATGCACACATATACACTACGGCTTACACTGTTTAGCTGATCCAATTCACCTGTATTACTATTTAATTATCATTACTATAAAATTATTCATTCTGTCTGTAAACTGTACAGTAGGTTGTAGATTATTCTTATTTTCCTCTGTGTTTGTTCTCTGACTCTTGTGGGTTTGAATGTAGACACAGGAATCGGGATAGAGGAAGTTGTTCTGCTGCCTATTAAACTGTCATGAATCTCAAGGCAAGGAATGTCAAGGTCCATTAAAGGTCTGCTCTGAAAGCCCTGGGCTCTAGCACAGATGCCACACACAGACATACACACACACACACGTTACTTGCAGATGCTGTTTCAGCTTATACACTGAAAAAAATATTCAAAGATGATTCTTTGGATTTACTACATTTAAGTTAAATGGTTGTAAACAGCCCTTATTTGGGCTGAATTTAAACTTACACATTAAGTTGAACATTAATAAATTTAATTTGTTTAAGTTCAACCCATAGAAATTGTTTGCAACAATTTTAAAGAAATCACTTTTTCAGCGTACAGAGTTAAGTTTGCGGTGTATGAGAGAGATTAGTGTGGCATAACCTCAAAACTAAAGTAAAGAAACAGATTGGCTGTACTCAGATACTCGTGTTTGTTTGCTCAAGATTAAGATTCAGAGGAATTATTCACACGACAGCACACACATGCATTATATATAACTGTCATTTACATCATGGCACAGTTACGGTCCTGAGGCAGACCACAATCTGCTGAATTCAGTAGGCTTTGTTTACTTGACTACAGCATGCATCTTAATTTATCCCCGATTTTAAATCTCCTTTTCAGCATTTAAAAAATCGTGCATCTGTTTTTGCTACATTTGACAATCAATTGACAATAGAATTGATACACTTAAAATGTCAATTGTGCATTCACCAATTACTACTAATAATTGCTGATTATGTGTTGGAGTTGCTTCACTAATTTACTCTTCAATCTAACAGGGTAATAGTAGTTTGTTTGTTTTTCTTAATTCCCTGTATCCAGGACCGGCCCTGTACATTTGGGGGCCCTAAGCACAATAATTTTGAGGCCCTACCTTGCTTTGAATGGTGGAGTATTGCCATTAAAAACCGGCCCACAATGATTTCATTACTTAATAAATACAATCAATGAAACTGAAAAGTCTGATCTCTTAATAACTGTCTAAATTACTTGGATATTTTAAAACAGCACTGTCTTTGTCAATTAGTAGCTTCAAAAATTAATTAAACTTTAATAACGGGAGCAGTGATTCCTACTTTGCATCCTCGAGTGTTTTAAACATATTATATAAATTTAGCAAACAGATTGAACACTGTATAATCAATTCCAGGTTGAGGTTTTTGTTTGTTTGTTTGTTTGTTTGTTTGTTTGTTTGTTTTTTAATAAATTCCAAAAACCCTGCAGTGAAAAACAGTGAGCAATAATTAGCCAAAAGTAAAAATGCACTACTTGGTACTAAAATATACATTCTGACCTCATTAAAATAAATTAACATTAATGCAAAGATTGATTCTTAAATAATAAAACCAATAAGCAAATAATATAAAGTAAATATGAAAAATATTCATTTAAAAAAAAAAACATAGAAAAAGGGAAGCAACAAGTACTGGGTTAATATTAATACCCAAACACAAAATGTATTATTTCCCTCAGTCTCCTTCCCTGTTCCTTACATTTGAGATGCAGGGTCCAGAGCTAATATTAAACTGTGATTAATTTAATTAGGATATAACTTTTGTAAAAATGTTCCAGGAAAAAATATTACCAGTGTGCAAAATATGTCAATGAAAGATGCTTCAGTATTGCATTTTAGTAAAATGCATTTTAGACTAAAAAACGGGTCTGTAAAACCAGGAAAAAATAAAGGAAATAACGTTTACTAATCTGTAGTAAACATGATCATTAGCACTTAAAAGTGATGCTAAAAATGATTTTGTGCTTGTCAGTTTTTTTGCGCCTGAAGAACAATGTTAGTTTTGTTTTATTTTCGCGGTCCAATATCCAAAATAAATCAGGTAAATAATGGCAGGCAATGAAGAAAAGGCCATAGCTGTGTCCATGCGCAGGCTCGCATTCTTGCGGTGACCGGTCGGTCTTGCAGGTTACACAGCGAGAACACAGAACGCAAATGAGAAATGACATGCTGCGAGCTTTCTGTTGATCATATGACTTTCACACGAAAACAATTCCAACTTTAATAAAAGTTAGCATTTTGTTCTTTTCAGGGAAAATTTTATAAACATTTAAGTACTAAAGCTATGTCAATGAAGATAATTTGTAAAATGCTAATAAAAAACAGTAGTGGGTTGTGGGGGGGGGCCCCTAGTTAGCAGCCGCTTGGTTCGCTTATAGGGAGGGCCGGTTTTGTCTGTATCCCTGTATTATGTTTATCCTTGATTGGTTGTGGGTGACACAGGGTGCTCAGTTAGCACTATCTCCATGTGAATGAGTGTAAATGGATGTTTCCCAGTGCTGGGTTGCAGCTGGAAGGCCATCTGCTGTGTAAAACATATGCTGGAATAGTTGGTGGTTTATTCCGCTGTGGCGACCCCTGATGAATAAAGGGACTACGCCGAAGGAAAATTAATGAATGAATGATTGGTTGTGCACTTTTGTCTGTTTTTACACAATTTCAAAACATCAATCAATCAAACCAGATCTTAATACAAAAAAAAATTTTAAACACAATGTAACTAATAAAGCATTTCATTAATAAAACATTATTCTACTGTGTTATTATACAATTCTATAATATATTAAAATAAGTAATAAGGATAAATTTAATTAGTAAATAATGACAAAAAGTATTAAAATACAAAATAATGTATACCATTATTTAAAATAAATATTAAATAACGACAAATAAAAAGAATTATGTAAAACAACACTTCAATTCTGAATAAATGTTTAAATAAAAAAACAGTATTGTATCAAAGCTTTTTTTCATATTGAGACAGATCTTAGAGAAACAAAACATTTAATGAGAAAATAGTGGGCGTGGCTTTTTTCTACTGCAAGCTGATTGGGTATAGTTAAGTAGGTACTTCATTCAGAAAGATACAGAAAATGGTTTGGGGAGAGTTATTACAACCTAACCCTGACTACATTTACATGAACATCAGTAATCAAATTATTTGCTTAAATCTAATTAAGAGAATAATAAGACTAAGGTGTTTACATGAGTTGAATTTTGAGTGTTACTTTCATGATCCTGTTTCATATGTTATAGCACATAATTCGATTAACGTCATTGTGTCACCACGCTATCAGCATTTCCTCTGGAGTTCCATGTCATTTCGGGTGTTTTATTTTTTATTTGTCGACTTTAACTGCAGTTTGGCATTTTCACTTTTATTCACAAACGTTTCATGCATGCCCTCCATGACAAACAAGATATTGGATGCAACTATGAACTGCTGGAAGAGTGTTGTTTTAATGGAAGTTCATACCGCATGCTGAATGGAAGAAAAAAAAAACTGCATTTCAGGATGCAGGTGTCTGTGGTCTGCACTGACTCCGTAGGTGCAAAGAGTGTCAAACAGCCACGCACGTGTGTGTGTGTGGACTATCCTGTCGCAAAACGCTACGAAAAATCCTACATGACAGTAATAATTCGATTAAGGTGTTTACCTGTACTGCACTTCAATAATGCGACTAAAATCAGCATACTCCACGTCTTAATACGATTTCTTTTTGATTCGATTATGACCTTAACCTGATTAAATGAATCAAAAATCGCTGTTTACATGGTGAACTCTTAATCAGAGTACTGTCTTAATCGCATTAAAATCGAGTTATTGGCGTCCATGTAAACATAGTGTAACTCCTCCACCTTCTCATCATTTCTTTTTGTTGTCAAAACAGACAGCTGGAGGGGCGTGGATAAGTATATAAGCCACGCCCAATACCTCAGACTGACCTCATTTGAGAATTTCATTTGAGAATTTAATTGAAATAAAAAACAGCAAGTGCATTTTCAGATTTCAATTACAAGTCAAACTATTTTTTTATTAATGACATGCACCACTAAACTATCAATATGAGCTAAGAAAATCAGTATGGTTAGTTGAGATTTCATTTGTACTTTATTAATATTATTGCCTTGCTTAGATGAAGGTAAATAATTGGATTAGTGTTGCCCATGGAACTGTAGTCAGTGAATGTGTGGTGTTTTTCTCAGGTAACGTTTCGTACGAGGATCTACCACTGTAACATCAACAGTCAGGGTGTGATCTGTCTGGACATCCTGAAGGACAACTGGAGTCCTGCTCTGACCATATCCAAGGTGCTGCTGTCCATCTGCTCTCTACTCACAGACTGCAACCCTGGTGAGAATCTACATCATTCACATCTCAAGTATTGAACATTCAGGTTTAATCAGTCCTCTTTTGGACTCTTAAATGTATACAAAAATCAGTCCAAGTGAAAAAATAGTCAAGTTGAGTGTCTTGGATTGATGTTTGTATACCTTTAGGAATCTTTTATCCAAAGAGCACCAGCACATTAACCCTTGTGTTCTGTTCAAACTCACTACCCTTTCGTTATGTTGGTGGCTGTTTTTGCCCCATTCACTTTCATTATAATAACATTTTTCTATTGCAAAGCCATGACAGCATATAATCATGCATTCTTGATTGTTGCTGGTTTTACCTCTTGGTACAATAAGTAGTTTTTCATCAGTTGGCAGCATTAACCCATTAGATTGGCCTGTACAAAGACGTTTCTGGCTGTTATGGAGTTCTACTCCTCAGAAGACAGTAAAATGCTGTTTGTTTATTTAGTGTGGTGGCACACCTTTCGTGAAAATCGTTATGTACCACCTTTTGCAGCTTCTACTCCAACAACCAGTATTTGAAAAAACACGAGTAAGACCAAATCTTCTTTTTAAAAAAGGTTTACTGAAGAAATGCAAACAAAAATACAAAGTTATAATAGACTCGATCAGCTCGGTCAAAAAACTGTGTTGCTTCCAACATCCATAACTGCAATCCGACTTAAACTTATGAACTTATGACCTCATGACGTATTGCTGTCGGAAGCCAAAACACCAAAGTAAATGTTTTTAAATTGTATCAATTATTAAATTATGCATTTTAAATAATACAATCTCAATGAATTCTTATTATATTTATATCAATTTTTTCATGTTTTAACCTTTTGCACTAAATTATTATCACAAATGAATTATGCATAACTGGCTCTTACAATTAGTATCTGTTTCTATAGTGAATTTATATATGCTTGTAGATTATACTGTATGCAGATGCATTTGCAGAATCATCCCAATCAATCTAAAATAAATTATTTTCAAATAAATTGTCAAGCCATCTAGTGAAGTTGTATTCATATTGTAATATGCAGTTTATATAATATAATATACAGCAATTTCTGTTTAACGGAGAGCCGATTTTTTCAACACATACCTAAACATAATAGTTTTAATAATTTATTTCTAATAACTGATTTATTTTATCTTTGCGATGATGACAGTACATAATATTTTACTAGATATTTTTCAAGAGACTACTAAATCATCAAAGGTGCTGTATGAAAGTTTTTGACTCTTCTAAAGCATAAAAATACCCTAATATGTATGCAGATATTTAATTACAACATGCAAAGTGAACAGTCTTGTTTATCTGAAAAACAATGCTGGAGTCAGATATTCTGCTTTGAAAATACATTACGTGCTGGAACTTCTGTCTTTGTTTTGGTTCTTTTAACCCGCCCAATGCCAGTTTAGCCAATTTTATTTCAGCGCCCCAGGTCGCCTTGGTGTGATTCATTTAGTCATGTAGGCTCTCAAAGGTGGACCTCCGGTGGACAGTAGCAAACTCCGAAATGAGACGCAGATTCAGAGTTCCACATGAGGTGGTTATTAATTAGGTAATAATACAAATGTTACAAACGTAAACATTAGGTGAGCAGGTTACATTGTAACCCCGTGTCCTATCAACACCCTACCTGATGAGATTTGCAGTAAGCAATGGGGTTGTTTGCACCAGACACAACAGAATTTTAAATATATCTATTCAGAAGCAATCATTGCACTGCAGCAAAATGGTAAGATTTATAATCTAATTAATACATATTAAACCTCTTGAACATGATTAAATGTAGATGCTGTATCACTGATGTGTTCGCTTGCACTGAGTCACAGTTCTGAAGTTCAATTTAAAACATTTTATATCAAGATCTGAGGTGAACTATCTGCTTCCGCGTTCAGTAGTATGGCAATAAAATGGCCATAAAACTCATATTATTTAGTATTTAACACTGAATGAAGCACATGAGGTGTACCTGAGCTGATCATTGTCAGTTTATCCTGTTATTTAACTGTGAGAAGCCGTTTCTAAAATATAAATCTGAGGTAGTATTTACTTTGTTTACTTTGCAACCTGCGCTTGCTTGTGTTTTGACCCAGGGGTGCATTACCTAGTTCCACCACTAGGTGTCACACTTACATACAGCTTTTTTTAACAGTGGATGTTCTGTAGTAGACAATCAAAAAACATATATAATATATACTAATATACTAATATATATATATATATATATATTGCTTAGGAAAGCTAATACTATTAAACAATTAAACAATTTTATTAAACAATTAAAAACTGATTTTATTCTAGTAGAAATAGTCAAGACATTCTCCAGAAGAAAAAATATAGGAAATATTGTGAAAAAATATCCTTGCTCTTTTAAACATTATTTGGAAAATATTTGAAGAAAAAAACAATATTCACGGTAATCATTTTGGCTTCAACTGTATATTGCAGAATTAAAAAAAATAAATAAAAAATCACAATGTTAGATTATTCCAATGTCGTGCAACTCTACTGCTGTTTTAATTTGTGCCATGTTAAAATCTAAACCTCAAAGAACCCTAATGCTGAGTTCAGACTGCATGATTTTAGCCCCAATTTTGACTTGCCGACAGGTTTTGAGAAATCGCCGACAAATGCCTGAAATCACAGGCAAATCGGTGCTCGTTCACGCGAGTAACAAATAACACTATGCGAACAATCAAAGACGCAATCTGAGAGAATCGCCCAAGAGTCGTCGACACCCATCAGATATTTAGCATGCCAAATATCTGACGGGTGTCGGTGACTCATGGGCAATTCAAATCATGCTGTGTGAAATGTTTTCTGATTGAAAATGTCATCAACGATCACCTACAGCCAATGAGAGAGCGGCATCTACTAGTGTGGGTATCTGAAGGCCAGCGGGAGGTCGGGGGAGAAGTTAAAAGTGCTTCTTTTCAGTCTATTTGGACCCAAGAAATGAAGTATAAACTATGGTAAATTTGGCAGGATCACCCGTATCTGTTTGACGCGTCATCTGTGCAAAACCACAACCAGGTCAAAAAAGAAAAAGTTGAGAAGTAATTGCGTTCAAAACCCAGCAAAATTAGTACATTTTCTATCCCACTATGAAGGAGTCGTTTCCATTATGTAGCTAATAAAAAAATATATACTACATGACCTCACATTGTTTCCATCTCACTTCTTACGCGTGTTTGTGTCTGTCCGCAAACAACGTCTCACAACCAAAGTTGTCTATGATTGTTCCTATTGTAAAGTCATGCGATGTGAAACCCTCTGTAGCCGATCCATCATGCAGTGTAAACAAAGCAATAACAGAACGCTCTCCTAGATAGTCATGCAGTGTGAAAACATCTGCAATACAACTACTTAGAAAATCATGCAGTCAGAACTCGGCATTAGAAACACATTCTCCATCTTTACCATTCAGACTCTAACTAAATCTCTTTGCATCCGCAGCTGATCCTCTGGTCGGGAGCATCGCCACACAGTACTTGACCAACAGAACGGAACATGACAGAATAGCCAAACAGTGGACGAAGAGATACGCCACATAAAGCAGCCACACACACACACACTTACACACACACACACACACACACACTCTATATTCCCCTCAGCCCTACTGTGCCTCTACCTCTCCCCGTCTGCTGAAAGCACACTCACCAAGTGCAACAATACATCTGGCCCTCTTCCTTCCAACTTCCTGTAGACCTTTCTGTGAACAAACTCCTGTCCTTTGTTCCTTGTTGACTTGAAAGCTTCTTTTGATACAAAGAGTAGATTGGGACTTTATTTTCCAATTATCTGAATGTTTGAAGTACCTTAGGAGAAAAGGAATACTATTGTTATTATTACTGTTATTATTATTATTGTCCTTATTGTATGTATATGCTTTCTTTTTAAGTGGCTTCAGGAACAAATACAGATTCTGAGTTGTTGTTTTTTTTTTTTTCTTCTTCTTCTTCTCATCGCCGTAAAAGTGTATTACTTTATTATTTTTGTTAGTTTCTCCTTTTGTTAGGAGTCCGTACTATTTCCATGCATGATAAACGGCATCCATCCGACTCCAAAACTCTCTTGCCCTCTTGTTTTTGTTTGTATGTATTTTTTAAAACTCAAAAGTCATGGCAGCCACTTGACGATAGGCTTGCTTGTGAATTAAAAAAAAATGTAAAATGTTCAAAAATAATAATAATAATGTGTACATATTGCTACATGCCACCTCTGGCCAGAATGGACTGTTGTGCACTTGCTTCATGGAAAAAAAACACCATAAATAAACACTGTGGCTGAATTGTCATTTATTGTATGTAAAGTCATATGTTTTGTGCATGTTTTCAATTTATTTTCTCTCTCTCTCTCTCTCTCTCTCTCTCTCTCTCTCTAGTGAATAATAATAATAAATATTATTAATAATAATAATGATGAACACTAGCAGCTGGTTTGATGTGTTTCCCAGAACTATATATAGTGTTTTAAAATCACTGCAGTCATGCACACAGTTCAAATGTTTAAATATATACATAATGTTTGAAAGAATAGACCTTTTCACATTTCAGGGTTTCTCAGTAGCGCAAGTCTTCATAGTTGTGAAACTTTAGAGCGCAGTGAATGTGAGAATACAAAAAAAAAAAAAAAAAATATATATATATATATATATATATATATATATATATATATATATATATATATATATATATATATATATATATATATATATATTTATTTTACAATCTTATGTGCTGAAATAATGACAGAAAAACTCCATAAAGATGTTATAAGGATGTTCAGAAAAAGGAAAAAAAAGTGTGAGACTGAAAACTTTACTGTTATTTCCCATAGACGCTGCATTAAATACATCTCTCACAAGCGGTAATTTGTTTTTTGTAATTTGAAGCACAGATGATATAAAACATACATAAATACATATAAATGTGCATACTTAAAAAAATAATAATAAATATTAAAAACTTTCAAGTATTTAAGATGCAGATATGCGTTAAACGAGTCATACCAGTCTTATGAAAAGAGCCTTTAGTTAGCAGTTAATATATTCATTGATATTATTATATATTATTATTATTTAATATTATTATATAATTAATATATTATTCATAATTAATTCATCAAGAAATATTGGCTAAAACTATTATTATTATTATTTTTAATAGTACATGTAAGGTTTACCTCATTTACCTCAAACAAAAGCAGACATTTTTAAAAGTAGATTAATTTAAACAAAATATTTGACACATGTATCTAAGAAACGTCATGCTAGAGCTCTGGTTATGTTTTGAAAATGGGAATAATTTGCCATCTTTACCTCACTCTATGTATCCTATGCTCCTGGTCAGATTTATTTTGTGCTAATATATGTTCAGAAAAGAGATCTTGAAATTATTTTACCAAATTTAGGTCCAAAAGTTAAATATATCCCACGTCTATTGTTTAATAATTTATACAAATATACCCACTGGCCACTTTATAAGGTACACCTGTTCAACTGCTCGTTAACGCAAATTTCTTATCAGCCAATCACAAGTCAGCAACTCAATGTATTTAAGCATGTAGCCATGGTCCAGACGATCTGCTGTAACTCAAACCGAGCATCAGTGGGAAATGAAAGGGGAAGAAAGCTGATTTAAGTGACTCTGAATGTGGCATGGTTGTTGGTGCCAGACGGCCTGGTCTGAGTATTTCAGAAATTGCTGATGTACTGGGACTTTCATGCAAAACCATCTCTAGAGTTTGAAGAGAATGGTCTGAAAAAGAAAATATCCAGTGAGCGGCAGTTCTGTGGGCACAAACACACCAGTATTTGTTACACCAGTAACTCAAATAACCACTCGTTACAACCGAGGTCTGCAGAAGAGCATCTCTGAACACACAACATGTCCAACCTTGAAGCGGATGGGCTACAGCAGCAGAAGACCACACCGGGTGCCACTCCTGTCAGCTAAGAACAGGGAACTGAGGCTACAATTCACACAGACTCACCAAAATTAGACAATAGAAGACTGAATAAACGTTGCCTGGTCTGATGAGTCTCGATTTCTGCTGCAACATTCGGATGGTCGAGTCAAAATTTCACAGTCCACAGTCACCAGTTCTCAATCCAATAGAGCTCCTTTGGGATGTGGTGGAACGAGGGATTCGCATCATGGATGTGCAGCCGACAAATTTGTGGCTACTGTGTGATGCTAACATGTCAATATGGAGCAAAATCTCTGAGGAATATTTCCAGCACCTTGTTGAATCTATGCATGAAGGATTAAGTCAGATGTGAAGGCAAAAGAGGTTCCAACCCAGTACTAGTAAGGTGTACCTAATAAAGTGGCCGAGTGAGATCTCTCTCTCTCTCTCTCTCTCTCTCTCTCTCTCTCTATATATATATATGTCAACAAGAACAAATCGAATCTAAAATCTCATCTTTTTTTAAAATACATACACATATTTGAAATAAATTATTGCTGAAATAAGTGTTGAAATTAATTATTACGTTACTATATATATATATATATATATATATATATATAAAGTAATAATTA